CAAAATCTATTTCTTTGATTACAAGAAGAATCGATTCTAAAAAAGAAGAAGTTAGTTCTCAAGCAAAGATCAACAGTGAAGAATTGATTTTGAAAAAGAAAAAGTCAATTCTTGGAAGATAGAAGCTTTAAAATTTGTGAAAAACAACACCTTAGGAGAGATGGAATGCAGAAAGAAAAAACAGAAAAGAAAGAATCCATTATGCATGGAGATGAATTCAATTTTTGAAACCCCAAAAGTACAACTTAGAAACTTGGCGACCAAGAAAGACATGACACAACTGGACAAAAGTGGAGCAACAAAAATCAAGCTTGAATTCAAATGTTGGTGTAAACCACAGTGCAAAGCAAACACCTTGAGGTAAAATAATTGATTCTCTAATATTGCAAAGGTGCCACCTTTAAACCTAATTGTAGAAGAATTGTCACCTCAAAATAAAAGAATTGGTTCTTTAGAGATAGAAAGCTATAGACTTTATGAAGAACTTACAACTTAAAAACAAAGAATCAATTTGACAGATGTGATAAAATTTTGCAAGCTAGTTGAAAGATACAAGAAATGATTCAAAACTTACTCCAATAAATTGAAAATCTCAAAGGCTATAACTATCCATTTTGAGGACGTTAAAGCAAGAAGAGAAGAGAAGAGAATTTTGAAAGATTTTGAATCATCTTTGAAGAGGAAAAGAGCGAAAAAATAAGAGAAAAAGTTATGAGCAAAGAGTTCTCATCTTGAAGTAAGCAAAGAGCTTAAAGTTCACATCTTTATTCTTCAACTGATCTTTCTTGAGCTTAAACCTTGATCATCCATATTTTTATGGAAGCTTTCACCTTTTTGAACCTAAGCTTTTTTATGAACCTTTCTAATAATTTTTAGGTAATGATTCATTAGAATCCACTATTGTAGTGGTTGTATATTAAAGCAGAAGGTAAATGGGTTTTGCCTGATCCTTTCAAAGGTTTTATCTTGTGTAAAAGTTGTGCTTTAACTTAAAAATGGCAATGTGTAGGTAAAGGTTATGCTTGATCTTGGAAAAGGCAAGTTATAGAGGTTATGCCTGATCCTGCAAAAGGCATGTTATAAAGGTTATGCTTGGCCATGTTGAAAAAGCAATTTGATAATGGATGCAAACTCCTTGTGCTATCAAGGGAGAGGACATAAGCATTGGAAAGTTGAACCTTTATTAAAAATGTTTCAGTACTTTTTATCTTTTATGCTTTCTACTCATTGAGTTTATACTATGTTTTATTGTTTCATTCTTTCATATTTGAGTTGGTTTTCGAAAAAAAAGGGAAGTTTTACTGAACAACCAATTCACCCCCTTCTTGGTAGTTTTACTTGAAGCTTATATTTCTAATTGGTATGATTATGTGCAAGATTTCAACTAAAAAATTGAGTCTAGGACTACTCTATCGATATTTAAAGGAGATATATCGATAAATAGAAGACAGAATGCTATAGCAAGCATTCTATGTTCCATCTATCGATAGATTCTCTAGTCTGTTCATGGATCTTATACAAAATTGAGCTTTCATGTGTTTTTAAAACATTTTTCAAATTTCGATGATTTCTTAAAAGTTATGCAAACTTGTTTTCAATGTGATGCTATTTAAAACACATCTAAATGCCATTTTTCATGAACCTTATAGAAATGATAAAAAGTTTAAGAATTTCATGTTATTTGTAAGAGCATAGTTACGAAAAACTCTCCCTTTTGGCTTGTGCTCTTTCTCGTATCCACTTACGGAGTCTTTGTGACTTAATGTTATTTTCTCCAATTTTTTTGTGTTGCAGATCAATGGTAGCATTCTCTTGCTTGTAGCCAATGTCACAAAAGCATTATCCGTTCCTCTTTTAGTAAGTGATTTAGAAACCACTTACAGCCTAGAGGTTGAGTCATGTTCTATTGATGAGTCAATCTTTATTTATGTTAGTAACACCTTATACCCTCGTATAAAAGCCCATAAAACCTTATCGATAAGGCTAAAAGTCAATTGACGTAAATTTAAGTGCCAAAGAGTGACGATGGACAAAAGGAATATTTTGTATAGAATATTTCATACGCGAGAAAATAATAATTAATAATAATATTTTTATCGAGG